AAGGTGTTATGGAGTGATGAATCTAAATTCAATATCTTCTCTAGTGATGGTATACGGCAGGTGTGACCAAACTTTTATCCTTTAGGGGCTACTTTTTTGGTAAAATATAGTCTGCGGGCGACTATGAATATGGGCAAACAATTTTAGGATTTTTATATGCGCATGCATTAACATTCATTTGCATTGTTCATTGGGATAAATACAAACAGTATGGGTACGTTGCACAGACAGTCCATTATTGTAAGAATAAATTATCAAATTAAGATTTTTAAACATTAATTTAAGTGAAAGCAAATTGTTCAACTTTAGCTTCATGGGCTACTTTCAAAACCTTTGCGGTCAACTGGTCGACCGCGGTCTACGTGTTGGCCATCCCTGGTATACAGTGTCAGACAACCAGTCAACATGAGATATGACTCAAAATACATAGTTCCTATAATAAATCATGGTGGTGGCGGCATAATGGTATGGGGATGTTTCTCTGCAAAGGGAAATGGTCCAATTCATAGAATTAATGGAATAATGGATCAAACCGTTTATCAAGACATATTGCAGAATCAAATGCTTCCTCATGCACGTCGTCTAATGCCAAGGAAATGGATCTTCCAACAAAACAATGACCCACAACACCCAGCAAATTTGGTAAAGCAATGGTTTTAACAGAAAAGAGTGAATCTTATGATATGGCCAGCCCAATCGCCAGACCTCAACCCCATAGAGAATCTTTGGGATGAAGTTGAGTGCCATATACTCCAGCATACATATTCGAATCTAGATGAATTGTGGTCTACCATTCAAAAAGCATAGTATGAGACTCCCAAATCCCTGCTTTACAACTTACAAGGGAACTGTCGGAGTGTCTTCTAATAAATTTTAATAAAATTTAGTTAATAACTAAGTTAAAAGTATACAAACTCTATTTTAAATTTGTAGCATTCACTAAAAGTGTTGATCAGAGTTATTAGCAATCAAATGTTGCACTACTTTATAGTAGTTTAACACAGTTATGCAAATTTTTAGAAGTGAAAGGGTCGCGGAGGAAGACGGCGATATTACATTTAGAATAAATTCTGGAATTTTCAAAAATAGGAGAAGAATTAATAAAATTTAGTTAATAATTATGTTAAAAGTATACAAAATTTTATTAATTCTTCAACCATTTTTGAAAATTCCAGAATTTATTCTAAATGTAATATTGCCGTCTTCCTCCGCGACCCTTTCACTTCTAAAAATTTGCATAACTGTGTTAAACTACTATAAAGTAGTGCAACATTTGATTGCTAATAACTCTGATCAACACTTTTAATGAATGCTACAAATTTAAAATAGAGTTTGTATACTTTTAACATAGTTATTAACTAAATTTTATTAAAATTTATTAGAAGACACTCCGACAGTTCCCTTGTTAGTTGATTCAATGGAACATAGATGTGATGCAGTGATCAGAAGCTCTGTTAAGCCACAAAATACTAATATTTTGTCCTAAAAATACTGGACAAATCTGCATACTTCGTTTGGTAGCGCTACTTTTGTCACAGTGTAAAATATAAAACCTTTATTTTTTCTTTTGTAAATCAGATTTAAAATAAAATTTGTTTGAGTTCATTGAGTATTCTGACTCTTTTTTTTGTGCTCTTTTCAACTATCACTATATTAATTATGTAGTAGGTGGTGAACAAAATAGAGGTTTCATTTTTAAAACATATGTCAAGGATAGCTCTACTTTTGGGCACTAGTGTCGATTGAAGTAACAAAAAATAAATACGAAACTGTTGCTATAAACAGAAAGGCAGATGAAGGTCAATTTGGTGGTGAGTGTTTGAATGTCAAGTTAAAAGGTGATTTACTAGTCACTTCAAAGAATTTGAAATGTATTTGATGTGTTTGTTTGTTTATTAAATTACAGCAATGCAACACTAGGGCGATCTGCCTTCCAGGAGGTCTTTTTAAAGGTAACTGGCCCCTATTCAGGTGTTACAGAGGTGGAGAAAACCTGGAAAACTCCACAAGGCCAACCCATCCTGGCAAGGCACAAACCCATAACCAAACTCCCAATGTTCAGGGAACGAAACTGCTTAGCCACTGGTAGGCCTGAAATGTATTTAGTATTATTCCATTTATAACATCATTTATGATCTAAGTAGCTAACAAAATTCAACATAGTGATTTGTAGTTATCAAATAGATGTAATTTTTTGAACATTTTCCTTTTTCAATAAACGACAATAATTAAAATTACACTCAAGCCACCACAAAGTTACTATGACATCATAAATGAGAGAATATCAAATATCTTCCTACACTTTAAAACTGCCACAAATCGTCTTCATCATTCAACCTTTGAACTTTCACTACATAAACACTGTTGTAGTAACTGTTTTAAGTTTCTTTTCATTACTACATTACTACAGTTCTTGTCAAATGAATGGAGAAATTTATGGTTTCTTAATATCAACCTAATTCCAACAATATCACAGAAGTTTAATACAGTAATACCCTGAACTTACGCGATAGGTGGGACCGAACGATAACCACGTAAGTCAAATTCGCGTAAGTTGGGGTATAATTTCGCAATTTGCGTAAAATCCAAGTCGGATGTATGTAAGCTAATAAATGTTCTCGTTAATCTTATCTCGTCATTTGATTTGTTCATGGTTACAAGAAATCACCACATAGTCTCTCTCAAGTCTCCATAAATATAACAAACACAGAAATAAATAACATAAAATAAATTGTAGCTATGTGTCGATTCCGCGTGATACGTCCGAACATGTAAGCTGAACAATAGTGTGGGGGAGTGAGTAATCAAGAGTTGCATGGTGCTCAAACAAAAGACAAATCAATGAGATTTGAAAATCGTGTAACTCCAAGTTTGCGTAAGTCGGGGTAGTGTAAGTCGAGGTATTACTGTATTAACATTTATGACAATAAGTGGAGATTGACAATTTAATTAATCTTCTCTAACAGATAAATAGTATTGTTCAGTTTTTTACAACCTGCCCACCTCACCTATTCCTATTTTAAGTCTGTCCTCATTTGAGCCTACAGTCAAAATTTGTCATCTGCAAGAGTATTTGAACTGATTCTTTGTTTTCATTTTAAAATATTTCATACGTAATTAATTCTTTCAGAATATTAAATGGAGACACTATTTTTGTAAGGTTGGTTATGGATGACAGAATCTGTTATTTAGAGTGTCCACTATTTATGGGTAAATGTAATAGACATCCTATTTGAAGAGTCTAAAGATTGTAAAAATATTCGTTAAGTAGAGGTGTCTGCTATTCAGGAGTGTCCATTAATGGAGATACTGTATATACATGAAATATTGCATATATATTCTATTTCTTGATGTTTGTGAAATAAATTAAAAGCAGACTTTTTTAAAAACAAATTAAACTGTGGAAATTAAATCATAAAAGTTACTGTTAAGCTTTAACAAAATATATTTTTTTAAAAATTTAAAATAAAATGCTTTTATTGGTCGTATTTTTGGGGTATGGTATGGTGAGAGCTCCACCCTCACCATACTATACAGTGCATTCACACACACATTATGGTTAAATTTTACATTTTATTATGTTTATCAGTTTTGGAGTGAAGAGTATGGAGGGGTGGGCTACCACCTAAAACATCTTTAAAATGCATTGTGTATGTTTTCAAAGTTTCAGACTTTTATCTTCATTAGAATTGGATGAAATCTGAGTTACAAGATTTGAGGATATGCAAGTGTAGACTCTGAAAGGACACGATTGATTCTTAGAAACGAGGAAGGATATCTTTTGCCCCATTTTAATTTGGAGTGGGAAATATAATCACAAAATTGAATTAAATTCTCATATAACAATATGGAGCCTTCATCTTACGATAATGCCATAGTTTGGAGATTTCTTTCTGTTATATCCAATCAAAATTTCTAAGAAAGAGTTGGGTAGGACATCTTTCTGAGACCATCAATTTGAATGTTGTTGACTAGGAAAATCAAATTGAGAATTCATGGAATAAATCTCTTTAATAATGGAAAGAGATGAACTTCTCGAGGCAAGAACTTCTTCAATTTTCTCAATAATGCAATGTCATTCAATTATTGAAGAAATTGAAAAGTCTAAATACTTGATTATGCAATGTATAATAATTATTGGTACAGTAAAACTTCGATTTAACGGACTTCGTATGTTATAATATTATTTTATTCATACTCATACATCACAATAACACTTTAAATTCGTTATTAAGCTGTAATTTTCCAATTACAGACTTATGTATTCCCAATAACGTCCCTCTGTTCGTTTGTTCGTCCGTCCTTCCTTAATTACGAGAACGGAGTTAGATCGATGTAAACCGAAACCAGATATGGAAAGATTAGCGACTGGAGGCCCGATTACCTTATTTTGGCGTGGATTCAGGGATTTGAAGGAAGACATTTTGGCACTCGACTGTCAGACCAACCGTTATCCAGGCACGTAATTAATTCCAATTCAATATCAAGTTTCTCAGATGCTGGACAAGAAAATCTGATGAATTCTCCAAACTTGTAAACATCTTGAATATCTTCTATGATGAGGGAAGAATTATCTGGTTTACGAACAGGAGGACATCCCTTCACGCCTTAAAACAACAATAAAATTTTATTAATTAGAAAATAAAATCAGTTTATTTAATATATGTAGTATTTTATGACGTATAAGATGCACTTTTCCACCGAAAAATACTGTCTGAAAATGGGGTGAGTCTTATACGCCAGTTAATTGTNAAAAAAAACTATATTACATACAAATAAAAACCCAGCAAAGCGGGTCCTTGCAGCTAGTACTTTATATAAATTATATAATGTTTTTCTTTCATACTCATGGAAATACTTTATTATGAGTCATATTTTACAAAAAAATAAATAAATTTACATTATAACTAAAAATAATTAAATTGTATAAATGTAGAGTTAATAAATTTAAATTTAATAAGCAACATTACATGGAAGGATAAAAAAAATATTTCACTAACTTATAAATCCTTTAATTCCAAGTGATTCAATTTCATTGTAAACAAGTAATCTACTGTATGTTTCAACAAGAGCAGGAGCAAGAGAAAGAGATGTTTTAGTCTGTCCTAATTTCATTACGTGTGTTACAATATTATGAATGAGACTGAAAATAAAAATATTTTTAAAAATAAATTTTTAATTTTATAATAATAATGTAATGACATACCTCATTTTAGTATGCACAGTAAGAGAATCTAAAATGCTCATAGACAATGGATGAGTAGGACCATTCACCACAGAATTTGTTGCACTGATTGTTGTTTGAGTTTTCTGATTTCCTTGCACTGCTTCAACTAAAACACCCATTGGTCTGGCAAAATATTCTTGATTTGTACTATCTAAATTAGTGAAAAATACATTAATTTTTATACTTTTGTACAAAAAATTGCCAACTGTAAGAAAAATATATTAAATATCTACAAATAATCTAATTTGAATTTTAGATAATTATACTTTAACATTTAGAATGATTACAAAACAAAACAAAATCTTGGATTATAAGACCTCTTCACTGTATAATAATTTATACAATTTCATGTGAACCGCCGGGGAGGATGTAGGTCTCCCGATCCGGCAACAGGTCGTTAAACCCTTCTCGCTGGTCAGGATTGATTAAAAATTTACCGTTCCCGCAGTAACGGGATTAAATGTTTCGGGTCGAGTGGAGGAGGGAGGAGTGCGTCGGTAAGATGACCGGCGATATACGAGTAAAGATGACACCACTTTAACAGGATAACAACGATTTATTAGCTACATAGAGATTACAATAACCAATTTCAAAAGGGAAAATCTGAATCCCTGAATCGCGAAGGACCGAGAGAGAGTTCACAAAAATAAGGTCCATACCTCTTTACGTCTTGACTGATTTTTAAGGAAAAAGGTTGTGATATCCAACGATGTGGTATTAATTAGGATAATAACTCTTTAGGATAATAATTATTAGGATAATAATTCTCCTTCCGGACACAATATCGTAAAGGACACAGTATATAAATAGGACACAGTTGTACAAGTGACGGCGAATGAACGACTCCCCCGAGAAGGGGAAGGAAGGGGTTTTTATAAGTTCGGCGTGGGAGAATGGTCATGTGACCAATTGTTGTGAGGTAAAAGGTATGCAGATGGGTCAGAGTTGTTCCCGGGCCCATGTTAACTATAAACTTTAACGTTGGAATGTGGGATTAGTTTCGAATTGAACGGATGTTTATGTCGAACATAAACGAAAAGTTTTTTTTCGTTAGGTTCCACTTATTTAATTAGATTTTAATCAAATACAGGACAATTGAGCGACAAATAGCCGACAAAACTTCCGGATTTCACATTCATTTTGAAATCAAACTAAGCTAAAACATTCTTCATAACAGTAATTTTAATTGTAATACATACTACTTTTGTTAAATATAAAGTATATCCTCTAAACATCAACAATAGTTTTTACACATTAATTTTTGAAATTTATAATTTATTTCCTTCTATCAAAATTAATGCCTTTTTGATAATCTATAATCACAGTACTCTTTTAAAAATATAAACTAAACTCAGTCAGATTTTTTTGTACTACAATTATTATTTTTTGATTAAATACATAAGACAAATTCAGACCTTTTATTCTTCTGATCAAAAAAAAATAACAATTGGATTAAAATTACTCAAAAAAATCTGTTAAATCTGTTTTACATTTGATATATCATTTTATACACCTTTCTTAATTAGAAAAATTGTGATAATTTTTGTAACATTTATATTTGAAGATGTCAAAAGATGCCATATTTGATATTTTTTTAATATCTGAAGATATAAATGTACATTTAGTTTAAAAATTTTTGTTTTATATATTATTTAAAAGTTAATTAACCAATTTACAGCCAATTTATTAAATTATGAAAAAGAACCATTAAACTTGTTCAAGCATTATCCTGAGTAAATTCTTTTAATAATCATATTTAAATTTTATAATAATGTTCTTAACTTCATTCTTTAAAAACAAAAAAAAACTTAAACTGCACTAAAAAAATTTTTATCTTAATGAGAACATCAAATTAAAATTAAATGCTTCAGCATGTATTTCCACTAGATGATGTACCTGATAATGCTTGGGTCATCTTACAAAAACATTGAATGGATTTAAAAATTATATGCACATTTGTTATTTGGTGACTATATACAGTAAGACCCTGCTTAACACTGATTCAATATAACACCGTCTGCTCGAAGCCTTAATAAAAAGCTCAAAATTTACTCTGATTTAAATTATCGCGGCATTTTATTGATTCGTACATAATATGATTATTTACGAACACAAACCAATCAGAAAAAGGTGGCAAAAAGGTGTACTTTCTTTAAATCTATGTTTGTTTGGTGTAATTTTGGAAAAAATATATCATCATAGATGTCATAGGCAATATCAGATTCATTTGGCAAGAATTAACCAATAAATGCAAGAATGAAGTGTGGAAGAAGTTATGGCTGAAAGTATCCAAGAATTCTCAATGAGAAGAGCCTATCGCTGTATTGTTAGGTTGATCAAACTCAACCTAATCGATACAGCAGGACTAGGAACTGTAGACAAACAAGATATTTGTAAGGAACCAAGTCCAAACGTTATTTTTATTTACTTTTATTTTGCTTATTATTCTATTTTTTGTTTGGGGCTTATGTTTTGTTAGGACAAAGGTTTCCTCACCATTCACCTTAGTAACTTAAAAATAGAAGAAAAAACCAACTCACCGACGAAAGAAAAGCGCCGTAGAAAAACTCGCGCACACTTGCGCTTCCCGAGCGGAAAAAAGTAAGTCTGCACCGAGAAAAGGGGGGAGACCCCACAAGCACGAATTAGGGACTCGCTAAACCTTAAAGAATAAAAAAAAAAATGTCCCGAAAATTGTGAAAAAGAATAATGTAAAAGGTTAGAGAGTATTGTCGGAAAATAGGCTGCCAGACAAACGAAAAAAGTTTATTGTTAGCGTTAAGTATGTAAATGAGGAGAGTGATCTCATTCAGAATTGTGACGTCACCTCACACTATAAATCCTCTAACTCAAGTGAAAACGAACGAGGTGAATTCCTGATAGCAACGAGCTTTGGTGAGCTTCGTAGCAGTGAAC